ACCTAATGGGTACACCTTATACTAGGGGTAGTTCCAGAGGGCAGACTGGTGTGTGCCCAGGATACAGCTCTAAGGGAGGAAGAGGGGGGATTAACTAGTAGTGGCTGTAGCAGTGGGGTGGCTGCAAGCTGGCAGCCCAGGATATAGTCCAGGAAGGCACAGGCTTATTTCTAGCAGCAAAGGCACTGCGGAGCAAGAAACAGATTACAGATACAGACCAAGGAGTTAGCTTGAGTCTGCCTGCTGGGGGAAAGAAAGCCAGCAGGTAAAACAAGGGGAGTGTGCAAGAGGTTTTTCCTTACCAATCCCCAAAGCAGCAGCAGGAACAGCAGTTTCAACATCAGAGGACACAGAGAGGACTCGATTCGCTTACAATAATCAGGAGATCTCCAGGCACAGATTCGTTGTTCGTGGGAGGGGAGTTTAAAAACGGGGGTACGCTCAAAAACAAACGAGAGCGGGGAGAGGGGGCCCCCCCCCAAGACCCCTAGCTGATCAGACCAGGTGGCAAAGCAAGGACCTTCTCCGTGGGTCTGATCAGAAAATGTGTTTTTAAGAGCAAACTCAGGCAGTTTCCCGCCAGTAACTTTGATTGGCTCCTCTTGATACAGGGGAGGAGAGAAGGCAGGGAAAGGTTGCAGGTAAGCATAGGTATGCATGGGCATGTTCTGAGCCACAGGTATGACTCATATGCTTAGCTATGTGGCCACTTTAGGTCTTGCATACCTGGGCAGAGCACCCTACATCGAGCCGGGTCCTGAACAAAGAAGTTAGACAAAGGAGAGAAAAGTCCCTCCTCTCTGAGCAGAGCAATGGCTCCAGTCAGTCTGCACAAGCCATTTTCATGAACAGGGCCAGGCTGTGACTTTGGTTAGTTCCATGGCGGGGGGGAGGGGGGCACACAGCACAAACAGAACAGCAGGGGGACAGCTGTAACAGACATTAGGTTCCAGAGAAATTTTTTTCACCAGGCAAAAGACATATATATATATATAAAACTATATATATGCACACACACACAGAGTATACATTTTAAACAAACAATTTAATACTATACACAGCAATGATGATTGTGAAGCTTGATTGAGGTGGTGAAGTCAGAGGGTGGGATATTTCCCAGGGAATACATTACTGCTAAATGATGAACTAGCACTCAGCTGAGCCCTCAAGGATTAACACGTTGTTAATGTAGCCTCACACTCTACAAGGCAGCACAAATGGAGGGAGGGGAGACAGCATGGCAGACAGAGAGAGACACTCTGTGTGTGTGCGAGAGAAAGAAAGAGATGCACATTGCCCCTTTAAGTACGCTGACCCCATTCTAAGTACATTGCCTTTTTAAGTAGATCAGCAAGTTGATACAGCAGCTGCTGCCAGCAAGCTCCCTCTGTCCTGAGCCCTGTTGTGTCCCCCCGGCTCTATGGAGATAGGGTGAGCAGGGGGGAGGGGTACACCCTGACAGCCCCCCACTTCCGCCCCCCTTCCCACACACACACAGCAAGCAGGAGAGTCCCGGGAGCAGCTCCAAGACGGAGGGCAGGAGCAGTACATGGTAGTGGGGGGAGGGACAGCAGAACTGCCAGCAATTGATAGCCTGCTGGCGGCTGCCTCACAGAGAACTTAGGGGAGCGGAGAGCTGATAGGCGGGCTGTCAGTCCACCAAGCCCCCACCAGCTAGCTCCAACGGGCTGCTCTTTCTGCAAGCAGTGGACAAAGCAGGCGGCTGCCAAACAATGTTATAAGGGAGTATTGCACAACTTTAAACGAGCAGGTTCCCTAATTGATCAGCAATGTAACAACGAAACAACGTTAACCGGGACGACTTTAAGTGAGGAGTTACTGTAATAAAAGTGATTTTATTAAGTATAACAAGTAGGATTGAAGTGGTTCCAAGTAATAACAGAACAAAGTAAGTTACCAAACAAAATAAAACAAAAACACACAAGTCTAAGCCTAGTACATTAAGAAACATCTCATACTCAGAGATGTTTCAATAAGCTTCTTTCACAGACTAGACTCCTTTCTAGTCTGGGCCCAATCCTTTCCCCTGGTACAGTTCTTGTTCCTGCTCGGGATTTCTCATGACTGCAGCCTCCTTTGTTCTGTTCCATCCCCTTATATAGGTTTAGGTTATCTCTCTGGGTCTCCACCCCTCCTTCTAAATGGAAAAGCATCAGGTTTAAGATGGATTCCAGTACCAGGTCACATGTCCTGTGAGACCCCAAGCCTTCATTCTTCCTGGCCTGACTCACAGGAAGGCTTGCAAGTAAACAGAGCCATTTACAACCAATTGTCCTAGTTGATGGGAGCCATCAAGATTCCAAACCACCATTAATGGCCCACACTTTGCATAATTACAATAGGACCTCACAGTTATATTTCGTATTTCTAGTTTCAGATACAAGAATGATACATTTATACAAATAGGATGACCCCACTCAGTAGATTATAAGCTTTGTAATGATGCCTTACAAGAGACCTTTTGCATGAAGCATATTCCAGTTACATTATAGTCACACTTATTAGCATATTTTCATAAAATTATATGGAGTGCAACATCACAGCCCCCTCTCCCAAAATAAGGTGACTTGTGTTCCACAAACCATAATCCTTCACCCCTCAACTAGCGAGCTAACTTCCAGAATCTTCTGCTTTCTGTCTTCCTTCACTGGTGGGGCAGGAAGGCTCTCAGAGAAGACTGTTTAGACTTCCGAGTTCTGTGAACTCATCTATTATCTGCAAGATATCCTGCGACAGTGTCTTTAATGCCAATATGAACCATCACCAATGGATCCTTGCCCATCAACTTCAGATGTTTATCCAGTCTTGAGTGACGTCTTGTGTCTTGGCTCCGGGAAATCAATCTGCCATTCTGTTGTCTGCCTTTGATTTGTAGAGTGTTCTTTTGATTCTTCTGAGCATTGAATCCCTGGCAACTATTGTCTGTCTTTCATGAACAGTTGGAGAACTCTTTGTGGGCAAGCTTGATCTCAGGAACTCCTTAACAAAATTTCCCGAAATTTACATCACTAACCCTACCTTGGGTCTCAATGAGACATAGCAATTTTCTAGACAATCTGAATACGGACATGGGTTTTACAGCAGTTTGAAAAATTGGTTTTGAAACAGAAAGCGCTACTCAATCTTAACTACAGAGTTACTAGCACACCTTCATAAATAAGTCAGTATAAAATACTCCAGAATCTGGAATGTGGAAATTAATTTTTCTTTTGCATGCCCTATTGCAGTACAGATGTTTATATAACCATCTGTCACCCAAATGTGCTGTGGGAAAATTTGATGCTATTAAAAGAAAATACAGTACAACCTCAGAGTTAAAAACACCAGAGTTACAAACTGACTGGTCAACCACACACCTCATTTGGAACTGAAAATACTCAATCAGGCAGGAGTAAAGACAAAACAAGCAAACAAAAGCCAACTAACTAACAATAAAAAAGCAAATACAGTACAGTATTGTTTAAACATAAACACTTTAAAAAAAGTTAAAAAAAAGATTTGACAAGGTAAGGAAACTGTTTCTGTGCTTGTTTCATGGGGGAGGGATAGCTCAGTGGTTTGAGCATTGGACTGCTAAACCCAGGACTGTGAGTTCAATCCTTGAAAGGGCCATTTAGGGATCTGGGACAAAAATCTGTCTGGGGATTGGTTCTTTGAACAGGGGGTTGGACTAGATGATCTCCTGAGGTCCCTTCCAACCCTGATATTCCATGATTCACTTAAATTAAGATGGTTAAAAGCAGCATTTTTCTTCTGCATAGTAAAGTTTCACAGCTGTATTAAGTCAATGTTCAGTTGTAAACTTTTGAAACATGAATCATAACATTTTGTTCAGAGTTACGAACATCCTTCATTCCAAAGGCATTCATAATTCTGAGGTTCTGCTGTAACTGTTCACTGTATTCTGAAAATCACCTTTCAGGAAGTCCTTGGGGGCCATTCATCTATGTTATGAGGGTAATAGTTGGTCTGAAACGCAGATATGTACTAACCAGACTCTGTAATACCACATGTTGTGCAGGCTAGATGCTAAGTATTATCTTTTATTGCAGATTACCAGTTGCAAGGTCAGCTCATGGTGCAACAGTGTATAGTGACAAACTGTGGATCTTTGCAGGATATGATGGAAATGCACGGTATGTAGCAAAATCGCTCTCCTAATTCTTTTGTTTTGTAATATCTTTCCAATCATTCAATTGCATCTCTGTAGAAATCCTTTCTCACTGTGAGGGAGCATTGCCAGCAGATTGAAGGAAGTGATTATTCCCCTCTATTCGGCACTGGTGAGGTCACATCTGGTGTATTGCATCCAGTTTTTGGCCCCCCACAACAGAAAGGATGTGGACAAATTGGAGAGAGTCCATTGGAAGACAATGCCGACCCATGACTTATGAGGAGAGGCTGAGGGAACTGGACTTATTTAGTCTGCAGAAAAGAAGAGTGAGGGGGGGATTTGATAGCAGCCTTCAACTACCTGAAGGGCAGTTCCAAAGAGGATGGAGCTAGGCTGTTCTCAGTGGTGGCAGATGACAGAACAAGGAGCAATGGTCTCAAGTTGCAGTGTGGGAGGTCTAGGTTGGATATTAGGAAAAACTTTTTCACTAGGAGGGTCTTGAAGCACTGGAATGGGTTCTCTAGGGAGGTGGTGGAATCTCCATCCTTAGATGTTTTTAAGGCCCAGCTTGACAAAGTCCTGGCTGGGATGATTTAGTTGGGGTTGGTCTTGCTTTGAGCAGGGGGTTGGACTAGATGACCTCCTGAGATCTCTTCCAACCCTAATCTTCTATGATAAACACTAATGGGAGCTTCCCTAGGTTTGGTCTTTTCTTTCAAATGGAGTAAGCATGTTTTTATTCATCAATACCTTGTTCAAATAGATAAATATGTTAAAAATAATAAGCTGATATCTGACAATATGCCTGTGATGGGCTGTATATTCCCAGTGTAATGCTTGGGGACCGGTGAAATTCCCTGAAGTGAGGGAAAGGAACATTCCTTGCCATGCTAAGAGGCAACAAGAGCGTCTGATGCTGTTGAAAACTCACTGAACAGAACAAGAATTTTCTGGGGGGCATCCCTGACAAGATAAAAGGGGGAACAGTATGTTCAGTCTTATGCCTTGGTGGCACTTGTTACTATTGGTAGCAGCCTAACTGAAAATGCTGGAACTGCTTGTTTATAAAGCAGATTAATGCTGACTGAGGGAACAGAACTAATTGGTTTTCAGAGGTATTTTATGGTGGGTGGTCCTTCCCTTCTGGTGTCAGTCACACAGCAAAAGAGTATAAAATTTGTTGTTCAGCCCCTCCCCTTTCAGGCACTCTGTCTCCTCACCCTCTGTCTGTGTCTTGGTGAAGATGAAATGTCCAGGCCATCTTTAGGTCTCAGTCACAGGATTTAGAACTAAGCACAAACTGCAAGGTACCTTGAGTGCTGAGCTCCCACTAGTCCTTTGGTGGCTTAGTGGGACCCCTGCTACTGACCAGGGTGCCTGAAATGTTTTGGAGCTCTTCTGCTATATTGAGTTCTGGACAGCAGAAAGAAAAAGGAAGTACTCCCCCCCTCCCCCACACTGCCTTACGGCACTCCCTCTTTCCTGAGAGAGAGCACCTTGTTTCTGGGGTCACTGCCTCAATCTGAAGTCTTTCTGCTCTCCCCTCTGAAGGTTCTTTCTTCAGAGAGCTCCCTATGTGAGCTCGTGCTCTGAGGTTTCCCTGCTTTCATCATCTCCAAGGATCTTTTTGCAGCTATTTACATAATGAGAGACTTCTCATACATCTGACAGACCTCCTCCTGGTACACCTTTTCATTTAAAAAACAGTGGACTTGGGACATGGTGCTCTGGGTACAGCTTCATCTCTCCTTAAAATTTACTAAAACACAAGCTAAGACCCCAAGTTCCAGGATCTCTGGAATTTTCTGCCCAAAGTCAACTCAGCAATGGTTTCTCATCAGTCCAGTCCTGGGGAGCAAACCAGTACTTTTAAATTGAGGTTCCTGGTACTTTCCCTCAGGGGAACCAGGCTGTTTTTGACATCTTGGATTCTGTAGTAGTAGATCCCATTTTTCTGTCAAGAAATTCCCTGCCAGCTACTGGGCCAATCCATGAAGGTCCCACCAGTAGCCCTTTCAGGAATCTGGCCTCCAAACCATGGCCAGACTGAGTCCTGCCTGACTCTCTCCCCCTTCTCAGTCTCCACAGTGCTAGGATGGACCACTTCCCTGTTCCTGAATCAGTGGTCCAGAGTCACCTTGGACCTTTCTGTTCTCTCCATCACTGAGATGGGGGTTCTTTATAGAATGTCAAGGCCTACTCTCAACCCTGCCATCCCTTAGAACTGCAGAAAAGAGAAAACTTGCTTCTTACCCATCCTCCACTGGGTGCATGGACTGTCCTTCTGCTCACTTAGTCAGGTCAGCCTTCAGTGAAATCCACAGTGCCTTCTAAATCCTGGCTTTGGCAGCCCTCATTTTGTTACTGCAGGAAGCCCCTACATGGTTCAATGGAGATTGAGGCCCCATTGTGCTAGGTGTTATACATACACATAGTAACAACTATTTCTTGCCACAAAGAACTTGCAATCTAAACAAATAAAACATACAAAGTATGGGAGAAAGTTAGTATTGATTGTATTTGTTAAGTGCAAAGTGCAAACCATCAGAACATTGGCCATACTGGGTCAGACCAAAGGTCCACCTAGCACAGTATACTGTCTTCCGACAGTGGCCAATGCCAGGTGCTTCAGAGGGAATGAACAGAACAGGTAACCATCAAGTGATTCATCCCCTGTTGCCCATTCCCAGCTTCTGGCAAACAGTAATATATACAGTTGGTGCTTTAAAAGGGCCAGTTTCACAAAGGTGAAAACAATCATGAGCCAAATCAGTTAGGTGAGAGAATTTAAACAGAAAAATGTGAATGATAATTGGGAATTGTTTCAGAATATTTTTCTAGATCCTCTCAACGCCACCAGCTACACTGGTTAAAAAACAGCCTGGTTTAGATGGGAAATAAAAGAAGATGCACACACAAGGGGAAATTGATGATAATAAATATAAATAAAAAACTAGGGAATTGTAGAAAATTGATAAGGAAAGCAAAAGGACACAAGGCCATCAGAGTTAAGGACAATAAATAGTTTGTAAAGTATATTAGGAACAAAAGGAATCCTCATAATGGTATTGGTTCTTTAGTAGATGGAAATTAGGTTAGGAATTGTCAATAATAATTAGCATGGACAGAATTAATTTTTTAAAATAATTTTGACAGCTAATTAGTTTATTTTTAAGCATTTAAAAAAATTTAAAGAATTATTTTAATGTTCACAGTTGCACAAAATTATGAGTTTTAAACATTTTAAAATTTATTTGTATTGATTTACATTTTCTCAGTTGTGGGAAATTAGGGGCCATGTCAGACAGTAATTATTTGATAACAGTAGATGTTGAGATTAAAAAAATTAAGCCTTTATAACAGCTAAAACACGAATTGTCAACATCGCATGTCCAAATATAGAAAGTAAATATCCTTAAATCAAACTCTAATGAAATTCTCAAGCAGCGTTTTTCTTACTTTGCCCATCTGTAAATTTTGATTATTATTGATGGAAATATTTCTTTGTGAGATTGTGTTTGTACTGTGAAATTGACATTTGCTGACATTTACTAATACAAATTTAATCCTTCCAATCCTAATAATAATGCAGAAAAGGCAGAAGTGTCCAGAACTTTTCTGCTCTGTATTTGGGGAAAAGGCTGCTGCTGATGAAGAAATACTTTCCATCTGAACAATAACTGAGGATGTTCGATAGTATTTCTCAAAGTTCAACATTTTTAAATTAGGGGTCCAGATAACTTAGACTTCTGTAAAGCATTTAATCTTGTAGCAAATGACATTTTGATTAAGAAACTAGAACAATATAAACTGAACATAGCAGACATTAAATGGATTAAAGACTGGTTAACTGTGACAGGTCTCAAATGGGAAATCATCATTGAGCGGGTATGTTTTTAGTAGGGTCCTATTGTGATGGGATCCCCAGGGTATGACCTGGAATTGTGGGACAGCCATGCCCCTTAACTCTTCAGCTTATAGAATCATAGAATATCAGAGTTGGAAGGGACCTCAAGAGGTCATCTAGTCCAACCCCCTGCTCAAAGCAGGACCAATTCCCAGCTAAATCATCCCAGCCAGGGCTTTGTCAAGCCGGGCCTTAAAAACCTCCAAGGAAGGAGACTCCACCACCTCCCTAGGTAACGCATTCCAGTGTTTCACCACCCTCCTAGTGAAATAGTTTTTCCTGATATCCAACCTGGACTTCCCCCACCGCAACTTGAGACCATTGCTCCTTGTTCTGTCATCTGCCATCACTGAGAACAGCCGAGCTCCATCCTCTTTGGAACCCCCCTTCAGGTAGTTGAAGGCTGCTATCAAATCCCCCCTCATTCTTCTCTTCTGGAGACTAAACAATCCCAGTTCTCTCAGCCTCTCCTCATAAGTCATATGCTCCAGACCCCTAATCATTTTTGTTGCCCTCCGCTGGACTCTTTCCAAGTTTTCCACTCTTTCCAAGAGTGAAGTACTGCTACTAATCTAATGATCATAAACACCAACATGAAAGCAAACTAGGATCACTCACTTGTTCAACCAGGGAAGGATGTAATTCTGCTTGTCCACATCTACACCTTTTTCCAGAGAGTTTGTACTACATAATCAGTGCATCCATCAGTCTGACCTATTTGTATCAATGCCATCACTAAGACATCCCAC